GTAATCACGTGTGTTATTGACGTTATCACGTGTGTTATTGACGTTATTACGTGTGTCATTGACGTAATCACGTGTGTCATTGACGTAATCATGTGGGTTATTGACGTAATCACGTGTGTTATTGACGTTATCACGTGTGTTATTGACGTTATTACGTGTGTCATTGACGTAATCACGTGTGTCATTGACGTAATCATGTGGGTTATTGACGTAATCACGTGTGTTATTGACGTTATCACGTGTGTTATTGACGTTATCACATTGTTAGCTTCCTTCCGCTTAAAGAAGACATTATACAGAAAAGGGAAAAAAAAACAAGTGTAACATGACGTCATAGATGACCATGGCGCCCGGTTCGCTCAGTCGGTAGAGTATCAGACGTTTGCTAAAACAGCACTGGGACATGGGTGGCTGGTGTGTCTATAAATAGATTATTGCTGGTCAAGGTCTAAGGTAACCAAGTGTAGAAAAGAATAAAACAACAAGCGTAGAACTAGTTCGATACTCTCTGTTCGGTCGCGAGAAATGTCAAACGATACCGGTGCCTGTTCTCGACGTGCCATGTCGCATTCCGTGAGGGGGAAAAACAGGCCGCGTGTATGCAGCAAGTGTCTAGATAAAAGGTTGATGTTAGTGTTTTATCTCCGAGCTGGCGGAATGTCAGTGAGTGGTGGTGTCCATCTTGTGTCCTCATTACTATCTCCGTCATTTAGCGCAAAGATTTATCTACGGCTACCAGCGAACTATAAGATCTAGATTTCTCACAAGGACTGTGGATTTCCTCCTTCTGAAGTCTGTGATTGGTTGAGACGAACAAGAAGAAACCTGGCTGTGGTTTATGGCGGACGTGTCTGTTGATGAACTGTTCGCTGATTATGGCATTGCGATGTGACGACGCCATCTTATCGCAGGAAGTGCTTTTGTTTTCTTCCGGTTCACGGAGGTCATCTAGACCGAGGACAATATGTCATCCACCAGCCGCCCAGTGTGTCCGCCACCACTCTCCTTGAAATATTGCTAACCCGTTTGTCAAAGTGATCCTAACCCATTCGCCGAAGCGGTTCCTGTCATATTATTTGCCGAAGGGTTGCCCTAACATGGTATCCGGATTTTGGTAAAGCGACTCATTGTCCAGCCCTCGTGCGTGCACAATGAGTCTCCTGCCGTGCCCCCACGACCCACGCCCTCTACTCACCGGCCCCGCTCTACAGCACCAGACGACAGGGGCTCGTAACTTCCGCCGAGTGCTGCCCCCGCCTCAGTCGCCCTCTGTCGGCGGGATTGGTGGGGGGTTGGTGGGTGCTCGCCGGGCCGTGGTGTCTGACAGCACTTCGGACTACGACAATGTAGGGCCAGTCTCACGGCTGAGCTGTGTCCTGGAAGAGGGGAAGATTGAGGAAGAAGAAGAGGAGGAGGAAGAAGATGAGGTAAAGGAGGAAAATCAAAAGAAAGGAGAAGAAAAATTGAAGTTGAAGAAAAAAGCGGAAGTGATCCGGGAACATGGGGAGGAGAAGAAGGAAGAAAATGAAGAAAGAAAGAAAGGAGAAGAGGGAGAAAATGGAGGAAACCACGAGATCGTCAATGGGAAAGACAATTCCGAGGAGAATGCAGATGAACAAGGGGAGACAATCAATCCCAAGTCAGTGGAGAATGTCTCGTCCGCAGTTGAGCGCCCGCTTCGCAAAGTGAACGATAACTGCCCCGCCCCGCAGGAGGGGGTCAATAGAGAGAGCGAGGAGGAGGAACGGGGGGAGGAGGGAAAAACCCACCGTGACAGCGCAGAGATTGTAGTTAATGGACGCGCAGCTCTCTCGTTCAAGGAGGGGGCGGGCCATGTCCCGACTCACGTGGACACAGAGCAGAGTGTCCCCCGCGCGGGGAGGAGCGGCTCGCACGTGCAGCGGGCGCCACAAGACGGCGGTGGTGAGTCGCAGAGCGTGGCGGTCTCGCCGATTGTGGTGCTAGGGAGGAGTGAACCCTTCTCCTCCGCCGCTACTGGTTCGCTGTGTGAAGAAGGAGCCGATGCTCACTCGCTTGTGAACTCACGCGCGCAGTTTGACTCGAGATCTCATCCCGTGAGCATCATGGGGAACAATAACTCATCACGGCAGCAGCACCAGCAAAAACAGAAGAAACAACAACAACAACAAAAACAACAACAACTCTCCTCAGATAATCCGTGGGAGAAGACGCCAATCATCCTGGACACGTATGAAGAAATCCCCGCGGAGAAAGTTTCTCATCACAATCAGAAAACTATCGCGAGAGCTGAGGAGGATTTTTCTTCTGTTCGGGCTTCCAATGGTTCGACGTTGTCGTTTCAGTCATGCTCGTCCGCCTCCGATTTCACGCGTGAGAGAACAACGAAAATAAACGATAATGGGAGCGTTGATGAGGATAAAGAGGAGAAGGATAGCACGACAGAGAGAGACGACGACGACAGCCAGAAGGAGAAGAGAGGATCCCGGGCCGATAGCCTGGACAGTATGACGTCACTGTCCAACATGTGTAAGTTTGTCTCTAAGAGGAACCACGTATCTTCTTCCCAAAAAATCGACAAAGTTGATTCGTTTTCGTCTTGTAGAAGCCACGTTAGTCAGATTCCCGTGGTGACGGATGGCCACCGCAGCTCGACACCCGCCACAGGACACACCCCGGGACACACCCCAGGACACACCCCAGGACACACCCCAGGACACACCCCAGGACACACCCCAGGAGACACCCCAGGACACACCCCGGGCCGGCGGTCTCCTATAGCGAACAGTGTCCCCGCTCTGGAGAGCTCCCACAGCGGAGATAAAAGAGCGTCCTCGGAAAGTGGTGCGCCCGTCTGGGCCAGTCATGGGCCCCGAACTATCACTCATCCGACAGTGGAGGTCTCCAATAGCCCCCGGAGCCCTCCAGGCGACTGCGCCCTCTCATCATCCCGCCCGACCTCGGTGACTTATCAGGGGCGGGGGATGGCGACGCCAAAAACGACTTCAGATAACGCGCCGACCGCCCGTGGCCCCGCCAAGGTCGAGGAGATCCTATCTCCGACCACGACACAAAACACAAGGATGTGTACGTCCGTGGCTGTGGCCACAACTACACCGCCCTCCCCGCCCTCCCCGCCCGCCTTATCTACCACCACCACCACCACCAATCAAACAAGCATTGTGAAGCCTGGCTCGCCAACACCAACGCCCCATCTTGTCACCAGCTCACATGTCCACGGCGCCCGAGATAAACGAGTCATGTTTTCCCCGCCAGCCACGGACCCTCACCATCTCAACGGTTTTCCTCGAAAGGACCCCCCGGAAGAACCGGTTTATGCAGAAATAAAAAAACTGGATTCCGATGAACCGGATTACGCGGAGGTCCAAAAACCTAAGCAGAAATCGGTGCACAGATCTGAGGCGAGTGACGTCACGACACCTGCTGGGATTCCCAGGACATGTTCTGGCCTCTTTGGTGCCGGAGTTCCTTCCGCTGGGGCCAGGGATCAGAGGCTCCTCCATGTACACCACCCCCCGCCCCCCGCTGGACCACCAGTAGCGACCTCTGTCCGTGACGTCACTCACACAATGGGGCACGCAGACTCCAAACCGTCGCCGCCGCTGCCGCCCAGACTGCCCCCTGTTGTTCTCACCAGATCCGAGTCCACAGGTTGCCGAGGTGGCCGCTTTACCCAAGACCGGGCTCCTACTACTAAATGCTTGACGTCGGACACAAGGAGCTACTCTCTGGACTCTGCCCCCAAACCTGCCGTCGTGCCGCCGAGTGCTTATCTACAGGAACGTCATTCAGAACCTCGCGAGATCGTCGCTAGTGACAGTTACAACAGCAGACAGCCGCTGCCGTGTCGAGTTATCAGAGAGGTTTCGCACGACAACGCGCAGGACGATTACGACAGCTACGAGGACGAAGTCACGCTCCCCAGCAAAGTTCTCGTGAGGTGCGAGATGAAAAGGTCGACCACGTCAGTCGGTAGTTTCTCTCACGCTGGCCCGCTAGGTGGCGCTAGCAGCAGCAAGATGGCGCGCTCGGCCAGCAGTAACGGTTACGACTACTTCAGTCTGGGCCGTCGACCACCGCGCCGGCTGGCACCCCAGACTCTGCGAGACTTCCGCGGCGTGGGCCTCAGTCTGGACATGTTGCTCCGCACCAGACGTCAGAGCTCGCTGGACAGTGGTCAGTCTCCCGGCGACAGTGACACAGACGGTCTGAGCGTGGAGGACATCCTCAAGTCGTGCAGCGACTATGACGTCAACAGTGACCCGTTCTACAGGAGCAGGACTGGGTCAGACATCGCCTCCCAGTCCCCGCTCCGGTACATGGCCATGGTTGGGGTCAGCGCGTCCCACGGGGATGACCTAGACCACAAGGCTCGCGCCAAGCACGCCAGGGTCGTGACCTTCCAGTCTCCGGTCCAGGAGAGGAAAGGCATGAGAGCGCGAAGCGGCGATGACGTCAGAGTGTCCCCAGGTGGTCACCAACACACTAGGAGTGACAGTGACGACAATCTGGTCATCAGAAACGCCAGCAGGAGTGGCGGTATTCTACGCTGCGGGAGCCCTAGCTCCACCAGCAACAGCAAAAACAACAGCAACAACAGCAACTGCAACAACAACAACCATATCATGTTCGGGGGAACAAGCTCTCCCATATCCCCACGACCCGGGTCCTCTCTCCGCGCGAGCAGTTCGTCACCCCCAGTGAGCAAAGCCACTCACGTGACCCCCACAGGAACGGCTCACTTCGGGCCTAGAGTGGTCCAGAACTCCCCCCAGTCGCCGACGTCTCAACGAGCCCAGACGTGGAAACCTGTTGCCCCCAGCTCTCATTCCACCAACGTCATCTGCTCCTACGACGCGCCGAAACAACAACTGGTCATTTCCTCACCAGTGAAGACAGTAGCGGTCAACACTGACCACAGCCCTCGTGCCATATCCGTAGAAAGAGACTCGGACACTTCTTCAACGCTGCCCCCTCGGGGAAGTGACTCCACACACACAGCAGACGGTGCTAACCACTCTACCACAACCACCACCAGTAACGGCGACAGAAGCAGCACAACTGTGAGAACACAGCTCGCCTCAAATTCCTCCTCCTTTCCCTCCCCCTCCACCAGATCTCCAACTTCGCCTCCCACGTCTTTACAGATTTCGAGAACAAACTCGGGAGGAGGAGCCACTCTGTCCCGTACCCAAAGACCAAAATGGGCTTCGCCATCGCCATCATCATCATCATCATCATCATCATCATCATCATCATCATCATCATCATCTTCGTCCTCCTCGTCTTCTTCCACTTTCGACTCCGGACTTCACAAACATTTCGCTGCATCTCGAGACTCCGCTCAGAGAGGTTCCAACATTCCTGGGAATTCCTCACCACAGAATTTCGCTTTGGCCAGGAGCACCAATACCCCCTCCCCCCTCTCCCCTACCCGGCCCGCGTCCACGTCTCAGGACAGTGGCTACCACGGAGTATCGGTCAGCTCGTCGGAGGCTGACCCCCGGAGTCCCGTGTCTTCCCTCAGCCCCATCTCCTCGCCATCCCGCGGATCTAGCCCCGGCCCTGTCATGGCCTCTCTCTCCGTGGATATTTCCGCGGACACCTCTAGTGAGGGACGGTCCTCCCCGGCACCCAAGTCTCCCAACCAGCTGGCCAGTAAGTTCACAGATACTGAACTCTTTTTTTAGAATCACTTTTTGGATTAGATAGGATAAGAAAGAGATCAGATAAGATACGATAAGACAAAGATTGCTCCTTCTGTCCTACCAAACATCTATCGTCTGCATCGATCCTCCTTCTTTCCTACCAAACATCTATCGTCCGCATCTCTCCCCCTTTCCTACCAAACATCTATCGTCCGCATCTCTCCCCCTTTCCTACCAAACATCTATCGTCCGCATCGCTCCTCCTTCTTTCCTACCAAACATCTATCGTCCGCATCTCTTCTCCGTCTCTCTGTGGGTTCCCCTCTTGTAACACCGCTGATCCTCGGCGCATATATGACCTATTTCTGTTGGAACTGCCATAA